TAACATGCTTTATCTCTTCCCCTCTTTATTTGTCTCATCTGTATTTTCATTGCAAAGCTGAATCATGTCCCTTTTAGGGACACCTCCCTAGACAGCCTTCCTAATGCCGGGTTAGGTGCTGTTCCTATGTGCTTCCAGAGCACTCACTGCATTTCTCTACTGAAGTGCGTACCAGACGGTTGTGTAATTGTCTGTTGGTTTGTCTGTCTCTTCCAGTCCCCATGAAGCCAGAAACTGTGATTTGTCACAATATCCCCTGACTGAGACACAATAGGCATTTAGTAAATATTTATTGAGTTTTAAAAAAAAATGTGAGCAAAGCTATAGGATGGAAATTTGTTGGATGTGTTATGGGAGAATGATTAATACATTTTAAGGAGGGAGAAAGGTAAGATTTGAAATGCTGAATTCGGAACCATCAGATAAATAAAAAGCAGGTACTGAGACTTAGGGTTGCAGGGAGAAATAAAAACCAGAGTAGCTCTGCAACACAACCATGGATGTAAAGGGCTTCACACCCCTGCTGCCCCCCAATTTTGAGGCAGTAGAATATACACTGAGGTTGACAGGCAAGGGCACAAGGCTGAAAGTGAAGGATGTGCTACAAATGTGGAGTCAATTTTTCTTGTGTAACTACAGCTTCAGAACTGGAATAGGTAGCTTTTGAGGTTTTCTACTTGACTCGAATAGGAAAATAAAATGGGATTATATCATGAGGCATCTTAAATATCAGACTGAAGTAAGGTCTTGCAGCCCTTGGGTAATCACTGACTAATTATGAATAGAGGGTGAGAATAATCAGAGTTTGGAAAACAAATTTTCCCATGTTGTTGCATAACACCGAATTCAGCACAGAGAGAGTGAATGTGTTAGAATATCAGGTGAATAAGTATTTTATTAATGGTATTAAAAGCTTAAACTAGACGGGTGGTAGTGAAACTTCAAGGAGGAAAAATGTAGCATCCGTTGGAAGATTTCAAAGTAGACTTGAGACTTGGGAAGAGGGAAGAAAGACATACATTTGCAAACAGAAATTGTAGTGAAATGGGATGAATGGTTAGATACTGATTACAAAAACAAAATATTTCACCGAACCGGCATTTTATTTCCTTGAGAAATGACACCTTAGGTTTAGAGTATTTGTGTTATTCTTGTACAAAGAATTCCAATTTATATGCTATTTTTAATAAAGTGAGACTTTCATTTAAACAAAAACAGAATCTCATACCTCAGGTATCTGCAGGTATCCTGGAGGTAGGGCAGCTGCCCAGAGCAGCCGGCAGAGTTGAGCAGCCGGCTCTGATGAGGTGCGTCTTTGCCCAGCTACCCCTGTATTAGGGACATTTTCCTGTACTTCTTGATCCACTCTTCCTCCCCCCAAAGCTATCTTTCTTTAAAAATAAAAACAAAACTATATTCCAATCAGACAACATTCTTTTTGAAAAACCAATTCGAGAAGTATTGAGGAACAGATTCCAATGACATTTTCTACTGGTTTATTCCCCAATGTTCTATTCCCATAATTCACGTATAAAATAAAAATTTAAAGACCTGAATCCTCTCCATATTACTGGTTTTCTAAACTCATAAAGTGAAGCCAGAAACATATGTTAATATGATTTTCTGTGTTTTAATAGTAGAATTGAAAACAAGTTAATATCATTGCAACAGCACAAAATATTATCACTTGGTTTTGTAACACTCATCATGTGGAGCTCTGGAAGATCATATTACCGTTGAAAAGCATATAGTTGTCACACAAATTATGCTTTTAATTATAATTAAAATAGAAGAAAATCCATACCTGAATGGAATGATTACTTATGTATTGGTCATTCTCTACTAGTCACAAAATCCTTGAGGACAAGGATATGACATTTGTGTATTTATCTTCAAGTTTAGTGCAATGCGTGGCATATAATAAACAATCAAAATGTTTTGTTTTTTTTTTTAAATACATGACATTTAAAAATATGACACTTACATAGAACTTACTATGTAACAGGCGCCTACTCAAATGCTTTACAAATATGAACCCATTTAATCCTCATTTTTAGAAAACTCTCACTTTACAAAGGAAATTAAGGCACGGAGAGGTTACATTACTTGCCCGAATCACACAGCTGGAAAGCAATGGAGCAGGGGAGTCAAACCCAAGCAAAGCAGTGCCAGAATCTGTGCTCTTAGCCTATACTGCTTTTAAATAAATGCTGCCTTTATATTTTAAAAAATACAATTATGTATATAAACATATTTTTTATTACATCATTGAACTTAGAATAAGAAGACTCGGGTTCAAATACATTTTTTATTTACTTGGTTTGTGGCTTTGTATAAATTCATTAACCTAGTTGGTCCTCAATTTCTCCATATATAAAATCAGAGTAATAGCCTGTACCTCAAAACCCTATCGTGAGTTTTTAAAAAAATAATTTTTGTGAAAATACTAGAATATAGTTGGCACTCAGGACATGGTCGTTGGTGTGCCAAGGAGAATGATGCTATTTTTCTCCTTCTCCCCTTTCAAAAGGGTATACATTTGCACATTACACATCATATAGATCTTAAACAAAAGGAGATGAAATTCTATGTTTTTTTTTTCAATTTATTTCTTTTCTTTTTTTTTAATTTCAGAATATGTTGGGGGTAGCATTATTTTCAATATCTCTTAGAGATAGAATTCCTTTACTAAAGGATTTTCTGGGCAGATGAGCTTCAGACTTAATTTTTGGAGTTGTTTTTTTGGAAAAAGATATTTTTCCTGGAAGCCATTATGATTTAAACATCTAACGTCAAAGAATAAAATCTTTTTCTTCTATTAAATTCTGACCGAAAAAAGGAAAAAAAGAAAAAAAAAATCTTTTTCTTCTAATTGGGCAATCAAGTATATATATATATTTTTTTTAAAAAAAGAAAATAGATTAGCAATACAACAAATGGAATTTATTTGCACTGAGACCCTCCAAAATTAAGAGGCTCTACCAGATCTGAGGAAAAACCATCTCAGTCAGTGGTTCTCAACCCAGGTTGCATATTATAACCACCTAAGAAATATATTAAATTGCATACCCTTTACTCAGATATGCTGATTTAACTGGTTTGGGGTAGGGTCGGGTACCCATATTTTTTTGACAGTTCTCCCATTGCTTCTTATTTTCAGTCCAAGAACCCTGGTTTAGGCTATCACCGAAAACATAACCAGTCTCTTATTTCCATATCAATTTTACTCTAATAAAAACCAACAGCAAATAATATTTTCATTCATGTTAACATTGAAAGAGTCTGAGAGGATAACAGAATTGCCGTAGCACAAATACCCTAATATTTAGCTCCCTTTCTGCAAGTGATTAAAGCAAATGCTATCTTTCTCCATCCACCATCATTCATTTTCTGGAATCCCAATAACACAAGAGAATGGAAAACAGAAGCCATACTTATATCAGCTAAATTTTTTCAACTTTGAGCATCACAAAACAATACAACTCCAAGATTAGGTATGTATTCTTGTGAAGCAGGTATAATGAAGATTTTATGCTTACTACACTCAGTGTGTTGGTGTGGTCAATAAATAATCTTACAACATGTAAAATGGGACTGAACATTATTCTTGTGGCTATAGCTCCTAAAATTAACTGTAGGTTAGAGGCATTGAACCAAACCAAATCCCGGCTGATGGATGTTTTGAGCCATGTTAAAAATACTGAGTAGAAATGAGTGTCCACTGAGAATACAGACTTAAACTGTAAGGGTTTTGCAAATCTAATCATTTTAGTTTCTTTCATAATACCAGAGTATATAACTGAACCAGCATTCTCAACTTTTTAAAGCTGAGTTCTTTAACTGCTGAACTTACAGTAGGCTAGCAACATGCTATTATTACATATTATGCTTTAAAAATGCCACAGCACCAAAAGCATTCCTATTTTGTCCTTAATGGTAAGCCAACTGGCCCAAATGTATAAAATATTTGCTTTCTATTACCATTAAAAACACTCAAACTTGGACACTCTGCTATTTAAGATTAGTTTCAGGAACTACATGGTCAAACTTTGGCTTATTTTGAACATCATATTTTCAATCACCTGATAATTTCAATAAATAGCCTTGAATAGATGACTTGGTTCAGGTCAGCCACAGACGGAAATGGTTGGGGGCTCCTAAAAACCACAATGGAACCATACCTTCTAGTCTTACATATATCACATAATATTAGGTTAAAGCTTTCACATAAAACTTTTCTTAGGTAGATTTGCTAAATAAAGCAGCCATGGTAGGTTAATAATCTAATTGGATTATTGGTTTTTGACTTTAATCGGATTTTTCTGGACCTCAAAAAAAATGAATGATTGGGGAAGAAGAATCAATTTGTTAGATATTTTCTTGATGTCTTTCACTAAGGCTTGGGAAGAGCATCATGAAAAAGAGTACTCTTTTGGAAACTATGCACACAACATATTTTTCCTAATAGGTGTGAAGAATGGCTGCTATGCATAAATGATTGTTGGAAAATAATTCTCTGTAAAACATGACTTAACAAGCAACTCCAGTCACCACTGTGCTCATTTCCAATATCCAGAATAACCAAGATACATCTTATAGATGCCGATATTATCTGTTTGTTAGTTAATAAGCACCTTTTGGAAAAAATCCACAACTTTAATTAAAGTCCCATAATTTTCATACCCAATAAGTTAGAAAATTACACTTTTGAGGGAAAATTGGTATTAACAACATAGTAAAAGTAAAGCAAGAAATTGGAGGATTCTTCAACACAAAACTGTAAATCACAGCCCCCTTCCCAGGACACCTATTTGTTTTTTTAATCAAAGGTAAAGTGAAGCGACTGACACTAAACTGACGCTACAGGAGAACCCCAAACACCACAATCAAAACCCACAGTTTTGTAATCAAAAAGCAAGGTACTTCTCGCACCTGCACTGTCAACCACCTCTGGGACACCCCAAATCTTTAAATCCCGCTCATTGCCAGAGTCTCCTTACCTGGAATTCTCTCGCTGGGCGTCTGGGCACAGCTCAGGAGAAGGGAAGGGCGTCGCAGGTGGTGGCTCCAGGGACTCAGGAACTCAAGGTGCAGCGACCATCTCCCGGGCAGGAGATGCCAGCTTCAGGGTGAGGGGCGGACGTGCGCACCTCTCCAACCCAGGCAGGTCCGCGAGCCGCGGAGCAGCCCACCCAGCGCCTGGGGGGCCGGCTTTCCTAGTTTGATGTGAGAGCAAACCGGTTAGTCTTAAGCTCTGCCTCTCCTGACCCCCTTCCTCATTTCCCCACACTTTAATTCGGACTTAAGTGATGGTTTAGACCCAGCCCCAGGTTGTATTAAAGGCAAAAAGGCAACTACTCTTTCCCCAGGCTGGCTTTCCACCTCCCCAAAGTCCGGGAGCCCCACCTTCCCGGCGCCTGCCTTCGCTCGCCGGGCTGTGAAGCTGTGCGCAAACTTCTCCCTACTTAAGTCTTAAGCCTAGCCCCACCCCCGCCTGCCTCCCTACAGGCACAGAGGAGGTGGCAGCGGAATTGATGAGCGCCAATCCCCCCTCCCGGCCCCTGCCGCCCCCGCCAGCCCTCTCCAGTCCCGGGAGAGGGAGGGGCGGGCTGGAGAGCTCGGTGCGCCTCCGCGCAGCCCCCCTCGCTCCGGCCCGCCGGTGGGGCTGCGCTCGCGGCTGCTGCCTCGCGCCAGTCCGGGCTGGGGCTCACCCTCCGAGTCCCGGAGACTAAAGCGCCGCGTAAACACTGGAAGCAGGCGAGGGGCCCGAGTTAGACCTTGAGAAGGGATAGGGGGGCTTTCGGGGGTTGGGGGGGAGGCGACAGACTGGGCTGGGGGATTTGTAACCTGTCCCTGGAGACAGCTTTCTGGGAGCCCTGTCCCCTCCCCGGAGGATGCAAATTCCGGAGGGAGGTGAGTTTCCAAAAGAACCCTGCCCCAGAGACACTGGCTCCTCTGGCTACCACTCGGGGGGCAATGCGCCAGGGAGCCGTTAGAGGGAGAGTCGGTAGTGGGCGAGGCAGTGAAAGTGGGGTGGGGGGCTTAGGAAATCGGCTGGCTTAGAGCCGGGTGTTGAGAGGAGGCAGAAAAGGGAGCTGGGAGACAGGAGATGAGAATAGAGACTGTGACGGTCCAGCAAGCTCTGGGACAGCGTCCGGAGTTGGGCGGCTGGAGGCTGGAGGCACAGAATGGATTTGGGGGAAGAGTGCCCTCCTCGTAGGGGCTGCTGGTGGGGACAGTGTTTTAGGGTGAATGAAAACAGCACGGCGGGAGAAGACAGGGGTCTGGGGTGCCAGACACCAGAGACTCCTCCTCTTTCCCCCTAGAACCCTGGATGCCAGAAGGAGCCTGGGACAATCCGATTCCAGGCAGGTGGCAGCAGGGGCTGGCCGGCGCACCTGGGAGGCAGACGAGTTGGTTCCAAGGACAGGTAGCCCTCAACCTCCTTTGGCCCCCAGCTGGGCGCATTGAGGCAGCAGCCGACACTTTTTTCCTAACTATGTTCAAGGGTGTGGGGTTAAGAAAGCAGCATCTGGTTGCGTCCTGGGACCGCAAGGTGGCTTCGCACCGTCGAGGTTACTAAACACTGTTTTCTTGGCAAAAGAAATAACAACAATATAATAGGACGGGAAGAAAGCCAGCCGACAACGCAGCACACTTTCCCTGGCAGTCCCAGGTTCTCTTAAGCACACAGGGCAGCGCCAGGAGACAGAGATAGAGGTGTCCTGTGAATGGGGCTGCAGCTCTCACCTGTCCACGTTTGGGGCCCTTCTCTGGAAAGGTCAGTGACTCTAGGAAAAAGCTGTGTGTACCTCTCTTTTATTTTGAGCCTTCACTCTCCACCCTAGAGGGACTACAGGGACCTAATTTGTGTGGTTGGGGGATTTCAGGAGATCCAAGGGAGGACAGAGTGCTGGGGCAGATCAGCTCTGCCACCAAATATTCCAAGGATTTTGTCCTTGCAGGCTCTCTCCTCTGTAGGTTTCTCTCCCTTCCCTGCCACCTCTAGTCTGGTGACCCAGAGGGCTGTATGTGACTCACCATGCATTCAAACTCTAAGGCACCGCCCCACTGCAGGGGAAGATTCGACACAGTCCCTTCATTCCCGGGATTTAAGTGGGAATGATGTTGTTAGCAGTAAAATATGTGACCAGGAAAGGAGGCTGGGCAATTGGGAGAGAAAGGGGCTTGCAAAAGAACACACACACACACACACACACACACAAGAACACACACACACATGCAGTAACATAAACAAAACCTGTGCAAGAAACCCTCTGAAAGAAGGTTTAGATTAAAATCTTCACTATGTGTTTTGATGTCTTTCCTGGGTTCAGTGGCTCTCTGCTTTCCAGTTGCTACTGACCAGCCAACACGTGATCATGCCCTTTTTAAAAATTCTTTTTCGGAATATTAATTACTTCTTTTGGTGCAAAAGCAGAGAATTATTAAAGTTATTTGAGTGTCTCCTATGGTCAACTGCTAGGGGCCAAACATTGAAAATTTCCCTTTGTTGTAGCCCAAATCACTGAAATGACAATGCATCTAGGAGATTATTGCAGAGTAAAGGGTGCTGCTGCCTTGAGCATGGTGTGATAGAGCAAGCACAGGGAGATTTTTCCGATGGAGATTAATTGTGGGGCATCCTACCTTACTGGTACTCACAACCAGTATTCCGAGAGCAGAATGGGGTTGGTTCTGTAAAGCTACCGAAGATATGTGAGACACAGCCCTTAACCAGGACTTAAACAAAACAAAGTCTAAAAATTAGAGACAAAAACGGTATAGATGTATTATAAAGCCTCACACTTATAAAGCCTTAAAATGCATGTAGTCTAAGCATAAACAACCCAGACTGATTAAAGTGTTAATTGTGTCAGAGATAACTTTGGGGGTGGGATGAGGAGGAGTTCTTTGTAGGCACATTTCAGGGAGGTGACATAGCAGAAAGGGATCAGGGAAGAGGCTCTTTGGTCCCTCAAGAGGATAAAATTGACTTTGTCTGTAGTAGGCATTTATTGGACACCAAAGGGGTTGCACACCTGTTGGAAGCACTTAGATTTCACAGAACTTTAACTCTATTGCTCTCTTAATACTATCAAAATATTTCCTTCGTGGACCCAGTGTGGTAGGTCTTTGGAGGGTGGATGTTAACACAGGAATGGTCTGACAAGAGAAATTGGCATTGTTTTGGAAATGTTGTGAAGCCCATTACTGCGTCCTGGAGTCGATTTAGTGGACATAAGCAACACTTTCAAAATGAAGTAGAATAGAATAGAAAGTAGTTATTCGCATTGGACAAACGTGAATGTGATCTTTTAAAACTTGTGTTTCATTTTTATTTATGTGTATATGTTCTGAGTTGCAAAGTAAAATATATTTCTTTCTGTGGATCATAATCAAAAGTATTTTAAGATGCTTGGTTAGAGTAAGCCACTCTTCAAATAGAATACCTTATAAATAAGCCTTCCAATGAAATCAGTTCATCAAAGAGGCATTAAGGAAAATAAGCATCTTAAAATGTGGCAATTACACGTTTCTGGTATTTTTTCTGATTCCTTATGATAAAACTCTCTGCCTTTATTAGTCTTTGCTCCTTTCTTCCTTCTGTGCCTCTTCCTCTTTAGAAAATTTCCCCTTTGGGCAGCTACTCATTTAGGGAGAAGTATTTTGTAGTAGATCTTCTGTGTTTGAATATTGCAGATATTTTGATACAAACTCCACTTCCATCCTGAAACCATCCTCATGGCTGAGGAAGTGAGGCTCTTCCACTAACTGTCAGAAGGTCGTGTGACATCTCGTCTGTCTTTCCAGAACAAAGTTTTCTCATATGCAAAACCAGGGTTTGGACCATAGGACTTTCTTGACATGTATGGTGCTAGAATTCAGTGACTTTTTCATAAACATCACTGGGTTTTTTGAATTGCAGTGAGTGGAGGGAAGATTGCCCTTTATTAAAAATTAACTCTACTGAAACCTGTTCTTACTAAATATGATAATGTAAAGGAAGGTCATACTTTGTAGAGACTGAAAAAGGTATTTTAGTTCTACTTGGGAAAACATTGTTTATCAGATTAAATAGATGAAAGTTTGTTCTCTTTTTAACAGAAATTTAGAGAAAAAAGTTCTAGCCTTTCTCAGGAGCCCAATTCCTAGCTTCCATAACTCCCAATCAGCAAAGTTTTCTTTACACTGAAATATAGCTCAATTCCTTATTCTTATGTGTTGGCAATTCAGTGCATACTTAATACTACCTAATGTCACGACACACTGGCCTAGCCACCCATGGAGGACACAGAAAATATACGATGCAGCCTGTACCCTCACCAAGCCCACAGTCTATTTGAGAATATTTGTTTCTTCCTTTTGTAGTTTCCTTCCAAATAGACAACTGCTGGTGAATATTCTTTATTAATTACCCTTCATAGATTTACAGATCACACCGTGACAGGGAGAATCATGATTTGCCTTGGTGAAAAATAAATGTTTTCCTTTTGAAACAATTTGAACTTTGACCAGATAGATAGACTTCTTCAAGGAAGTCTCCTGTTTTGATTTTCCGCCTCTTTTTCAGAAATAGGAGCTGGTCCACTTATAAGTCTCTCTTCTCTCTTCATCTTTCAAGGGGTCTAACACACTTGTGTTTCTCTAGAGAATGTGTCTCCTGGCAGGGAAAAGACAAATAATTCTGCTTGAACTAGGAAGTGTCTTTCTAGATTGTACTTACATAAACTTTACTTGGGTTAACTGTTAACTTAATGAATAAATAACCCAAAGTAGGAGGGGAGGCATACATCATTAAGTACCAGTGGAAACTAATTGCTCCATCTCTGATGAAGTTGGGAAATATTCAGATATTTCCTATCTTTTAAAGAGATTCTGGAAGGAACCCTAGGAGCCAAGAGAAAAATTGCAGAAGCAAATGTATGCATATATTCATTCATTAATTCATTCAATAAACAATGGAAAATTTAGTACAAAAAAGATTACATTCTAGTGGGAGAAGGGAGATAGATAATGAACAATACAAGGATAACTTGTTAATTTCAAATACTGACAACATTACAAAGATCATCAGCAGAGGACTGAGAGGCAGGCATTGCATAGTGCTACCCTAGGGAGGTCAGGGAAGGCTTTCTTTGAGCTGAGATATGGATGAGAAGGAGCCAGCCATTCTGAGCTCCCTGGTAAA